CAAAGTTGCATTGTATGTGATGGTTTAGTCCACAAACTTGCAAAAGGTGATCAACCCATCCCTAAACTTGCACTACTTGGGATGATCTAGTCCACAACCAATCAAGAGCGGACAAATGACGCCTCGCGGCCCTCTGCGTGGCACAACCGCTAGCCTTGGCGATTTTGCAAAATCCCCCTTGACCTTCAGGGAAATCATGCGCGCGTACATATGGCACTAAAGCCAGTTCCAGGAATATGTTAAATGGCTGAATCTGGATGTTGCATGATTGGTTCGCGAATTTTGATTTTGTCTCAGGGAAAAAAGTTTGCCAATAGGCGCGCTTGGGTGTCGCCGACAGTTAATAATGCCACCAGCTCCTGTTATCCTCCTGTACAAAAGGGCAAGTAGGGCGGTCATTCATGTTTGTTTTTCAATTGAGATGCTAACAAGCGCAAATCAGGAAAAAAAGTTCCATCTCAGGATTTTCCTTTGTAATAAGAACTAAAGTGAGATGGAAAGATGTGTTGTTTCAGTGATCTGATCACTGAGATCGGAGTAGTTAACTCATGTAAGATGTTCCCTAGCGCATTGGGCCTGACTGGAATGAACCGCAAAACATAACAAAGTTATAGAGTAGCCATTTGGATAGGACAGTAGTAACGACAGAAAAAAGAAACAACTTTCATCCAAAGCGAATGAAAAGGATTGATTTGCAGGAATTTCCGTGCACTGTTCCGATGATTGTAGAAATTTTCTTTCCAAGAACTAAAGTCCTGTAAATATCCTGTGAAAAATCTATGGTCCAGAGAGCGACATCATGGATGCTTTTATGTAAACATTTATGCAGTTTTGTTTTAAGAAAAGTCTTACTACGAACATGTATGAAAGCCTACAAGGCATCATTAAAGGCAGTATGAAGTTTTTTAAAAAGTAGGTAAAAATACTTGATGTAATATCATTGGTGTCAATTACTATGGTTCTGTTCCTGTAAGATTCTTCTTGTAACTCTTTTTTTGAAACAAGAGATTCTTCGTGTAACATAAACTCAGAAAAGGATGTGTCTAATCTTGATGCAGAAGATGATTAGTTTACATAGGTTGAAGAAGGGTATCATATCATTGAAAAGAAGAACAAATGCTCAGATTAACTTGTCCAGAACAAGCCTCGATCACTCAAAAGCTTGATCGATTTTCCATCCTATACCCTAGTTAGTACTATGTAGAGCTGATGATCCACTTTATCATATTACATAGCAAGAACATGCAGAAAAGCATTTTGAGATCCATGTCTTAACTATGCACCTCTCCCCTCTTTCTTGCTAGCAATTCGGTCGAACCGCTATTATGATCAGTTCGTTTTTTAGCCACATATATAGCGCTCTAACTAAGGAAGATCGATCCATGGTACATGCGCAGCTGCACCCGCTCGTCGTCCACCTACAACTAGCTGGCAGCCACGGGAGTGTGCGCCACCGCGCCGAGGTTAGCGATGGTCTGCCGGCGGTGAACCATGGATGTCGCCTCGCGTCATGCGGTGTCGGCGGCCCGCTCGGCCGCCGCCTGCTTGCGGTGCTGGTGCGCCGCCGCGTGGAGCATCTCATCCATGGCCATTTGTTCCTCCCTGCACTCCTCGCAGTTGAACTCCGCTTCACATGAAGATGTCGCAGTCACAAAAGATGCTCTGCCTGCAGAGGAAGCAGGAGTCGAGGAAGTGGTGGTGGTGGCGGGCCGCACCGGCCACGGCGCCCAGCTTCACCCGGAAGACCCTCGACGCCACCTTGACATACCGCGCTCCTCGCCCCCCTTCACGGCCGCCGCGGCCAGCAGCGACGATGATGATAGCGCTGCCGCCGCGGTGGAGGCGAGCGCTCCCATGTGCTCGTGCATGCGTGGCATGATCGCCGTTGCTCCTGAAAGGAGAGTGATGCATGCGTGTGTGCTCGGGTGGTGTGCCTCAGCACGTTTCTCTTATGTAAGCGCGCATGATTTCCCTAAAGGTCAAGGGAGCTTTTGCAAAAATGCCAAGGCTAGCGACTGTGCCATACAAAGGCCAGCGAGGCGCCATTTGTCTGCTCTTGGTCGGTTGTAGACTAGATCATCCCAAACAGTGCAAGTTTAGGGATGGGTTGATCACCTTTTACAAGTTTATGGACTAAGAGCATCTCCAGTCGCGTCCCCAGAACGGCCTTCCCAAGCGATTTTTTTCGCCGGCGCCGAAAAAACGGTCCAGTTGCGTCCCCAAGAGTCCGTTTTCGCCGGCTTGGGCCGAAATCAGCGCCGGCGGACCCGGGCCGAACCCGACGCGCCGGGGGGCGCCGGGGCGAGCGTTTTGGCGCGAAGCGGCCGCGGGCCCGCCGAGTCAGCGAGACGGCCGCTTCGTTGACCTCATCGCCTCGGTTCGCGCATGAATCAATGCGAAGGCTGTCGCGCTGCGGCGCTGCCGCGACGGTCAGCCTCCATTGATGCCTCACGAGCGACGCAGTGAAGACGCCGCCGACGCGTGTCCGCTCGCATGCGCCACGCATCCACCCGCATGCGCCACGCGTCCGCCCGCATGCCGCCCACCGCCACCCCCGCTTCGGCTATAAAAGACGCCCTCCCCGCCGGTGAGCGCCACACCCTCCCCTTTCCCCTCCCGCGGTAGCCTTCTTCCCGCCGACGAGCTCTTCCACCACTGCCTTCCACCGCCGACGAGCGAAATGGCCGAGAGATACCCACGCGACGGCGCAGCGGCGAACGACTTTGGCCGCCGACACCTCCAGGAGCCGGAGGCGCGCCTTCTGTACGAGGCCGAGTACCCGGTGCCCCCCCGACATGCGCGTGCCGGGGGCGTGGAGGCTGAGCGCCGCCGGCGTCCCAGTGCCGCTAGTCCCCGAAGGAGCCGCACGGCGGGCGGAGATCGCCCGCATCCGCTCCTCGCTGACGGAGGAGCAGCGGAACGAGCCGAGGTACACGCCCGACGGCAAAACGCTGTGGACGCTCTACTTTGAACGGTGCCGCGAGGAGCAGATCGCCTCCGTCAACGACGCCATCCCCCGCGGCCGCCTCAACTCCAAATGACGGCGCGAGTGGTGGGGCGTCCCCGGCCGCACACTCGACGCCGTCCTCGACCACATCGAGACCGGCAATGTGCCGCGGCTGGAGTACCCGACGCGCCCCTCCTTCTCTCGCCGTCGCGGTAGTTCCTGGATACTGCGGCGAATGGAGCCGAGGTCGTCCTCCTCGTCGGGCTCCGGCTCGCCGGCCGTTCGCCCCGTCAAGCCCGAGCCGGAGGAGACACCGCTCA